ATCTAAATGGAGCCAACATGATAGTTTCTTGCATAAAACAACAATAAATACATAAATATAAACATTAATTTCCTTCTAACCAGGCAAAAATGGTTAGAAGAGACTTTGTGTCATTGTAATGAAAAGTTCTGCAGCTAAACAAGTCATACATTTAAAATAACCTGCTCAAGGCATAATGGTTCATTTTATATTATAATTAAATTAATGTTGATTTTTTTTCCTTAAATGTTGGATTTTTTTCAGAGTAAATAAATTTAGAAAAAATTTCATATCAGTTTATGTTCATCCAAAATAAGAAGTAATGCAGTTATTTTTAACCAATGTTGTAACTTTATATGCATTCATGTTGATGTTTATTTACACAAAGCAAGATAATCAGCATAGTATTTATTTTTAATAATATTTTTTCTAACCTGTATCTACTGTATAACACATCTCTGTCTAACACCTTCAGTATTTCCATGTTGGGAAACTTTAAAGGGACAAACTTGCTGTCTGGGAATATCTGATTGTTTAACATCGTTTTGTATCAAAAAAATTTCAGATGATGAACAAAATATATATATTTGTATTTATTATTTTCTGTAATTGCACAAATACAGTAACAAATGAAAACAACCATTTAGTGTTCCCAAGTAAACATCAGTAATAATTTGTGTTTAATGATGAGCTCACTCTAGAATAAGTAAAATTATTGTGCTTTATTTTATTTTAATTCAAATGCCCACAAGTCATTATTTTCTTGGAGTAGCAGAAAAAAAAAAACTAAACCATATACTGTAAACATTCACATTATTATTATATTTTTTAAATATATAAATGTATTCTTGAGTAAACAGAGCAAAATAACACATTTTATATAGTAAACAGAAGAAACATTTATAGGCATCTCTCCAAACCACTGGCTTAGATTGTGTTTTGAGGTTGACCCGCGCAGTGTGCCCATCAGCTCAAATTGCACATATTAAAGTTAACTCTAAAAGAAATGCCTCCGTGAAGCACACAAATTGGCAAGAGGTTCGGATCAACCAGCCCTATCCACTGATCTGTCTTAGCAAAAATAAAAAACAAATAAAAAGACGTGCCATTATCACCATCCTGACATAAGCCGATGTCACGACTAAGGAATCAAGACAAAATACATGTGATAAATTGGCCAATGAGAGGGATGGTTTCCAGCAAACTGGCTCCAGTAACCACCTTTATGGCAAAGGTCAGTAAATATCCACTGCCCATGAGAAAGATGTGAGAAAGTTGAATGTCAAGGCACTTCCCCATGTGAGGATCTTGTCTTTGAGCGACACGTTTGTGAGGCAACAAAGTAATAATAATAATAATAAAAATCTATGTATATACTGAAAGTATTTAACACTTGGCAACTCCAATTTTAGTCAATGGAAATGCTCTCGTTACACATAAAAACACAGTTTACATGGTAGCTTTGGTGTTTCTGCTAACCTGGCCTGACCCATCAGTTCTGACCATAATCATTTATCTATATCTTTATATATCTTTACACACACACACACACACACACATATATATATATATATATATATATATATATATATATATATATATATATATATATATATATATATATATATATGCTTCATTAAACAGGTCTGTAATTTCTCACTTTGTCCTTACATGTTTTCTGAAAATAAATAAATAAAGCTTTGTAGTTTAGTGGTAATTATTGCTAAATTAGAACATTAATAACTGCTTAATTGGTTAATTGCTCCCCAAAAGCTAGAACTCCTCCAACGAGTGCAATGCATGTGTTTGCAATGAACATTTTGGTGCAAATGGAGAACAAAACCAAACGTGGGACAGTTTGGGGAATACACCCATGTGTTTTTTCACATGAAGATGAGAAGAGTGGTACCATTAATGTGTCCAAACAACTAGTCTGACTCTCTAAATCCACAATGGATCATTGTAAGTTTATGGTAACATAAACTATAAATAATTAACCTAAACGAATGCACTCAGTTCTCATTTCGTCATGTTTAGTACCCAAAGGGCGCATCTCTTTTCAGGAAAATCCTTGAAAGTTACTGGAAAATTGCAGACCCACGAAATAAAGTATAAAATAAAGTTTATATTTTTTGACAGTGCAGTAACGCTTATTCCATTTATAGATTCAAATATATTCTGTACCTTTTGTATTTTGAGAATTGATAATAAATACGATAAATAATACTTTCTCTGGTTCATATACAGTTACTTAGATTTACACATCACACCAGAAATAAATCCATACGATGTGACTTGTTATTGTTTTTCTTTCAGCTGCTCCCTTTTGAAGTTTATCTCAACTAATGAACTTGCACAAAAGATTTGGCAATTGTTTGACACCGGATGCTCTTCCTGACGCCGCCTGGGCTTGAATCTGCAGCCTCAGGATGACGAGACCGCATTAGAGGCCGCTAAGCAACCGCTGCCCCTTGAGATGTGACTTATAACACAAATTTAGTCTTAAATAACAAATAAGACTAAACAGCAAAAGTTAAACCACTCTCATAACCTTTTTTGTATGGAAACAAGTCCTGTTACACAGGCTATTGTAATTTCATCACACTTAACAGTATTTTCAGTCCCACATGGGTTCTACACGAACTGGAGTTGCCAAGTCGCTGCCACAGGTGCTGAAGTGTGAGGTTAGGTAACAAAAAGCAAAACGTTAAAACCCAGGTAGATTAAACGGTTTCCCACAAAGCTGCCTGCAAGTCGAGCTAACGTGTAGCTTTCACTTGAGCTTTGATTTTCATACGCAGTAAATGGAACCAGGCGTTTCCACATAAAATACCCACAATTTCATTTGAACTATTTACAAACTCATAAATATATATATTCTACAGTAGGAATCACCCTGACCCAAACAATCATACAAAAAAAAAAAAAAAACATATCATAAAAAATTCTGAACACAAATAAAATAGATTATTTCTATAAAAGAAAGAAAAAGAAATCAATTGATGTGTATTCCTATTCCTTTGGAGTGTTCTGCCGTGCTGATCTGTAGCAGTACTGCGATGTCGAGCCCTCGGGAGATTTTGAGACCTGAGTGTCTTCAGTCAGGTGCAGATCACAATAGCTCTGAAATCCCTGGGAGGGGCCGGGCCCGAAGCCTGGCTCACATAATCCTACACTGAACATACAAAGAAATTATTATTTTTTTTTTAAGGGGGGTGGGGGAAGGTCAGAGAAAGTTAAAAGATCACAGGTTGTCACCACCCTAAGATTCGGGGGACTGCTCTGACAGAGTGTTGAGCAGGTTTTTGTAGGCTGGGGAGTTCAAGTAGCGGGGATACGAGTCTCTTTGCATTAGTGTGTAGATCTGCAACTGGGCGTCGTCGAACGTGTGCAAAGTGGGCTCTAGCATGTTCCTGTTAATGGCCTCACGCACACGGGAGTCGAGGCTCACCTGGAAGTAGAGAGGATGCACGATGAACAGTATGCATTAGTTCAAAGGAAACATAAAAAAAAAAAAACAGGTATCAATAGTTAGTGTGTTATTTGCAGAGTCAGCCGAAATAAAGCATGGCAGAGAAAAGGGCATAAGTGTCGGTACATCTTTATCCAGACTAGGCTAATGGCTAGCCAAACAGGCCCATTTTTTATTGTTTTTCCGGGCTTGTAAAACATTTATTCCTTAAATACCGGTGTGAAAGAATGCTTCATTGGCCTTTATTAAACCTCTACACTTTTGGATGTTTAATTTGTCACTATTTTCTTAGCTGAACAACATTCATGTTGCTATTGTATTGATTGCATTATATTTTATTTTATTGTATTTATCCATTCATCCATCCATCCATCCATCCATCCATCCATCCATCCATCCATCTATCCATTATTTGTTACCTGCTTCTTCCTTTTCGGGTCACTGGTGCCCCTGGTGCCCATGACCAGCAATCCCTGTGTGAATGGCGAGGTACACCCTGGACAGGTCTCCAGTCCATCACAGGGACACATAGAGACAAACGAGTCAAACAACCATTCACTCTCTCACTCACACCCAGGGACAAGTTAGAGTTAAATCAACCTAACATGCATGTTTTTGGTCTGTGGGAGGAAACTGGAGTATCTGGAGAAAACCCACACATGCACAGAGAGAACATGCAAACTCCACCCAGAAAGGCCCCCCAGCTGGGATTTGAGCCGGTGACCTCGCTGAGATGTGTCAGCTCTACCAACTGAGCCACCGTGCCACCCTCATTGAAATTGTGTTTTTTTCGGGGGATTTTTGGTCAAGGTTTATGGATGATTATCACAAATGTTAAATATCCATGAAGAATGTTTTTGAGCTGTCAGAGTGTTCTTTGGAGCTAATGATACTATATTTATTTTTTGACAGAACAGCCTTTCAATTATCACTGGACTATCCCTTTAAAACTTCCTCAAGTTAGCTTAGTTTGTTAAAATAAAAATACTGCAGCTTTACAGCTCACTGTCTAGGTTTAACGCATTGCATAAGTTATGTCATGGGAAGTGATTTTGTTTTTGTTGCTTTCCTGTTTCTTAGATTAAATCAAAGTTGTTGGGGTTTTTTTTTTTTTTTTGGTGTTTTTACTATATTGCACTTAAAATACTTAGCTGGCCAAAGTGTTGTAGTACAAAGATTAAAATAAATTAAAAAAATTAATTCTATTTTACAAAGGAACAGACAATTAAGATATCCATCCATCCATCCGTCCATCCGTCCATCTGTCCGTCCGTCCGTCCGTCCGTCCGTCCGTCCGTCTGTCTATCTATCTATCTATCTGATTAAAATAACAATTAAAAACAAAGTATTCAAATACAACTATTTTAACATATGTAGAATTAGAAAACAAATGTCCTGCTTGAAATAGATCAAAAGCCACTAGGGAAACAACTGATTTTAAAGATCGACTTTAAGTGAGGCCGGCACGGTGGCGCAACTGGTAGAGCTGCTGCCTCTCAGCGAGCAGGTCCCTGGTTCAAACCCCGGTCCAGGGGCCTTTCTGGGTGGAGTTTGCATGTTCTCTCCGTGCATGCGTGGGTTTTCTCCGGGTGCTCCGGTTTCCTCCCACAGACCAAAAACTTACATGTAAGGCTTATTGGTAACTCTAAATTGTCCCTAGGTGTGAGTGAGAGAGTGAATGGTTGTTTGTCTCATTTGTCTCTATGTGTCTCTGTGATGGACTTGCAACCTGTCCAGGATGTACCCCGCCTCTCGCACAGTGATGGCTGGACATGTGCACCAGCGACCCCCATGACCCAAAATGGAAGAAGCGGGTAAAGATAATGGATGGATGGACTTTAAGTGATCTAAGGTAGTTTTCTAATTAGACAATGGAGCCTAAGATTAAGCCTTGAGGTACCCCAGAGTACGTACCAGAGGTAAGAGGGAAAACAGTTTAAGAAAGTTGTTCTAAATAAAGAGAAGAACAAAAGCTCAACAGCTAACTGCATCTTGGCTAAAGATGAACAGTTCCCATATGAACACAAAAGTGATATTGATACTTGTATCTAACCCTAAATTCATCAGTAATATAAAACTTCCCTCACTGAAACAAATAATAAAATAAAAATACTGTCAGACCTCTTTAGGCGACAGAATTGAGATGTAGTCCTCGTAGATGACCCGGGCCTTCTCCTCTATCACACTTTTATTGGTCTCTTTGCTAAACTCTTCACATGCGAGCCAGAAGAGCATGTTCTCCTCGCTGAACTCGGTGCGAAGAAACTGTTGAAAAGAGTTCCTCCCCGCTGGACAACACATCAGCTTATCAAACGACTGCCCCCATGAGTGCACCTCCTCCAACGTGGGCTTAGGACTGCATAGAGAATGAGAACATGGGAGTGAGCGACTTCAAAATTGGAAAAATAGAAATACACTGAACAAAATGATAAACTCAACACTTTTATTTTTGCTCACATTTTCATGAACTGAACTCAAAAATTAAAGATTTTTTCTATGTACCAGTACAAAAAAGGCCTTTTTCTATCAAATATTGTTCACAAATTTGTGTAAATCTGTGTTAGTGAGGACTTCTCCTTTGCCGAGATAATCCACCCACCTCGCAGGTGTGGCGTATCAAGATGCTGATAAGACAGCATGATTGTTGCACAGGTTTGTCTTAGGCTGACCACAATAAAAGGCCACACCCTCAAATCTTACGACATCTGTGGCATTGTGCTGTGTGAGAAAACTGCACATTTTCGACTAACCTTTTATTGTGGTCAGCCTAAGGCACTCCTGTGTAACAATCATGCTGTCTAATCAGCATCTTGAGACCCCACACCTGTGAGGTGGATGGATTATCTCGGTAAAGAAGTGCTCACTAACACAGATTTACACAAATTTGTGAAGAATATTTGAGAGAAAAAGGCTTTTTGCGTACAAAGAAAAAATCTTAGATCTCTGAGTTCAGCTCATGAAGTGTTGCGTTTATTTAATTTTTTCAGTTTAGTTTGTAATATATGGGGAATTCATATGCAGTGATATGAGCTGACCAGTCTTCACAGTCTGAGGTCCCTTCTTTGATGTCATATGATGCCTTTCGATTCCTATCGTCTCGATCTTCATTCCTAATGGAAAGAGACAAATTAACTGTAGAACACCAAATACTTTAACCATTTAACCATTATCTACTGTATACGTTTTGCTCATGTTGCTCATAAGCAGTGTGATTTACAGCATTTTATTTTATATTTTCATAATTTCTTCACACCTAAAAGGCAACAAGGTTATAAAATTCAAGAATTCATTTGTAGAATCCAATTTCCAAAAACATTGGGGCGTCGTGTAAAATTTAAATAAAATGAGAAGTCATGATTAATAAAACGAATAAATCAATATTTTATTAATCAAACGTTGAATTTTCTTATTTATTTACAATTTTCTGGAATAAAAAAAAAGGTCATTTTGAGTTTGATGGCAGCAACACATCTCAAAGAAGCTGGGGCAGGTGCAATGAAAGACTATAGAGGTATGAGTTAGGGTCAGACCGCAGGTTGGTAAGAGGAATGGTTATAAAAAGAGCATTTTAGAGAAACTGAATCTCAGAAATAAAGATGGGCAGAGGGTCACCAGTCTGCAAAACACTGCATCTAAAAATAGTGAAACAATTTCAGAATAAAGTTCCTCAATAATAGTTGGGGGAAAATTTTGATACCCCATCATCTACATTTCATTGTGCCATCAAACATTTTCAAGAATCTAGAGAAATCTGTGTGCACAAAGGTCAAGACTGAAAGTCAATTGTGGATGCCTATAATCTTCAGACGACCCTCAGGCTTTCTTAAAAACAGGTCTGACATAATTGCATGAGCTCTAGAATAAGTCTACAAACCATTGTCTGTAAACACAGTTCGCTGGTTAAAGCGCCATTTTGCAAAGAAACTACCGTAAGTGAACACCATTCAGAAATGTTGACTTTTTTTTCCACCGATGCTCATTTAAGATGAACTGAGACGACGTGGAAAACTGTTCTGTTTTCAGACAAATGCAAATTTGGCCTTCGTTTTGGAAACCACAGATGACTTTTGTACAAATGAGAAGAGCCAGCCTGATATCAGCACATAAGTCAGCGGCTTCGGATGTTATCAGACCATTAAATGGACGTTATTCTACCTCCTAGCAGTTTTAAAGTTATGTTTGTATCGCTGATAATATGCAGCGTCGCACGCGGGTAAAACAGGAAGTTGTTGTTTTTTTTTGTCAGCTTTAAGTAAACCTAACCTTACACCAGACCCAGAGCACTGAACCCTAAACTTAACCCCCTTACCCTTTTGAATAAACCTAACCCAGACCCTAAACCCAAGCCCAGACCCTTTACTCTGAACCTAACCATGTGAGCTTAGTGCTAACAGCGCTAACAATGTACCTTTAAACCCACTAGGAGGTACAGGAGGGGCAGTCTGAACGCTACATATGGGGATGATAGCAACTGATAATAGGTCATTTAATGGCTAACATTCAAAGCGGGTGACACAGTTCAAAAGCCTGCTTCTCTGATGGTATGGGGGTGCATTTGTGCCTATGGAAAGGATATGATGTGCTGCTGTTCGGCGTATTGTTTTTATACTACTAGTGTATTTTTAGTTAACGTTTTTCTTAGTTCATATCTTAGATCTTATTACTGTTTTTCTTTTACATTTTATACTTTGGTTGGATGTAACTGGGACCCTGTGTACACAATTTCGGTCCACCACATGTACCACATGTGGTGCGAATGACAAATAAAGAACCTTGAACCTTGACAGCTTACACATCTAGGAAAAAAAAAAATCATCAAAGAAGAGCCAGATCTGTTGAACAACTAGAATCCTAAATCAAACAAGAATGGCACGTCAAGTTCAAGTAGGTTTATTGTCATTTCAACACATGTGGTACATGAGGTGGAACAAAATGATGTACACAGGGTCCCAGTTACACCCAACTATAAAGTGTAAAAAGAAACAGTATATAGTATAAGGATGTAAGATACACACTAAGATATACGCTAAACAAACATTCCCCTCCAAAAAGTCCCTATTTTTACAGACTGTTAAGGAAGAGGGGATGCTTCAAAGTGGTAAACACAGCCTTGTTCTGTCTTTCTTTAGATATATTGCTGTCATGAACTTAAAATTTACTCTATTTATTCCTTTAAAACATGATGAAATGCCTCAATTTTGACATTTGGTATGTTCCACTAACAAAAAAAAAGGCTTGAAACAATTTGCATCTTATTGCATTCTGCTTTTACATTTTACACATTTTCTTTTTCAGAATTGTAATTTGCTACATATGATCTCACTCCACAATAAACCATATTTACACAGGTTAAACTGCCTGCATCGCAATCTTTTAATACGGTACACGGCATTTTTATTGTCATTGCACATGCACACTCAATGAAATGGAGTTTGACATCCAGTGCAAACTGTAAACCACAACACAAGCTGAATGAAAGCTGATCAATATATGGAGTTGATAGAAACATATTTTTTAACCTTTTCTGATATTTGATTGATTAAGATTTGTCCGTTAGGCCACAGAAAGAGCTTATAGTGAGGGGGACGTTTGGGCTTTCGTGAATACAACAAGGCTGCTGCAAAACTGACATCCACAGCTCACATGCAAATCTGTCGAGAGCGTGAGACAGAAGCTGAGGGCCTGCTGTTGAGGCTCAGTAGCTCAGGCTGTGCTGTCTTACATGCAATAATGTCGGCCGTGCTGAGCCCCAGTGAGCGAGCACGCTCTCGGCTGGTGAAGACCTACCAGGAACAGCTACAGCAGCAGCACCAGCAGAAGCAACACGCATTCGAGCCCCGCGGGTTGGCTTGGCCCGGCTGGTCCTGCTGGGCCGGTGCAGTTCCCCCCGCAGCCGACTCCTGCTGCACCGACATCTGCCTCTTTCGCATCTCCATCCGCTCTGATCCCATGGGCTATAGACAACAGCGGAGAGGGGAGAGAGAAGCGATGAGTTTAGAGTATTGATGTCAGGAATAGTATGTAAGTGAGATTTGATCTGGTAAGAAAAGCTTTCGGCCTGCAGTGCATTAGTGTGGTGGGAATCGTTGGCAGTGGAACAAGTATAGCAAGGGGCAGCGATGGGTGCGCTGCCATCTGACAGCAGAGGTGACGGCAATGTGAAATCCTGACCATCAATCCAATTTGACACATTTTTTACCAGGAAAAAAAATCACTTCATTCAAATTGTTCTCACATTTAACACCTGTGTGCTGTGCACCTGATGCTCCAAAGGAATGCTGTTTTCTCGTTTAAGAAACAAAACAAGTATAAATTTCAGTCGCCTGTTTCTCCAAATGGCTATGCGTGGTTTCACACGTACGTTATCACCTGCCGCTTAAAACAACGATGGAGCAATAATGCTTTTTGCCTATATCTGTGTGCAATCGTTTGGCTTTTCTGTTAGCAAAATATCTTGTGGACCACTTGATGGATTGGAATGACACTGAATGAAAGCAATCGTTGAATGAACATCTACAACAGATTAGCTTAGGGATCCCATTTAAGATGGATGCAAGCAGCTATAGTCAACACAAAAATGGTTATGATGCAACTAGTTTTAGATATTGAGCTCAAGTTTGGTGTGGTAGTAGCTGAGAGTCATCCTCAACACTTTTGCTGAACACTAACTTAATCAACAGTGTTTGTCTGTTAGAGAATTGTCTCATGAATTCACTGGACAGATTTTAATGCACCTTACAGGAAGTAATCACTGGACGTATGTCTACAAATGATTGGCATGGGGAGTCAACCCAGATCAAGATGGCCGCCACAGGTAATCTACGTTTGCCAAGACAAAAATGTGTATAACTTACTCAGAATTACAAATAATAAGATAAGTTTTCATGTGACAGTAACTAAGAGTCAATATTCCACATCTCGCGAGTTCTGGCTGCAGCGGCCATCTTGAACGGAAACTCCGTCACGAAAGGCACAAGGCAACCCGTTCATTGGCTGTTGACCCCTTCATCAGAGGTCAACAGTGAACTAACTCCCACAGAGACTTGGTGATTGTTTTTATGCCGGATGCCCTTACTGACACAACCACAGGTCACCGAGCTACCACAGCCGGGAGCTGCGTGCACCTGGGGGAGCTGATGGCGGGGGTTAAGAGCTTTACTCAAGGGCCCAGAGTGAGGCAAATGGGGGTGGAGACAGGTGTGGGTGTTTCACCATTTCCACCCACATTTTGATGCTACTGGTCCGGGGAGTAAAACCGGCGACTTTCCTATCACAGGCCCATCTTAGCCTTTGCACCATAAGGGTATGAGTTTTAATGTCATGTGAGAAAAAATAGATTTTACGAGTTTACGAGGTACAAGTCCAAACTTTATAAATATGACATTTTAAGTATGAGCTCCTAATTGCAATCATGTCAGAAATCATATGTCTATTTGAACATGTCATTGTCATACCCCTTCAGGGTACAAGTATACATGAGGGGATTCGTTTTGGAGGTGTGTGTGTGTGTTTAGATATGAAGAGGCTAAGCTCACACAGGATGACTTCTAACAAATGTGTCATCACCAGGTCAGTCACTGCCAAATCCTGTCACATCATTTTATGTAACAAAGCTGTCGCTTCCGACACACACGCGCACACACACACACACACACGGCATCATCCGGCTACAACCTGACACGATGTCACAAATATATTAAAGGAAAAAAAGAAAAAAAAAACTGTAAAGATCTGGCGCGTTTCACGGGAAAGGGTGGAGGAGGTGGAGGCGCATGCTCGCAAAATCTCGCCCCGCATCACATCCAGTGATTTGGTCATTTCTAAAATGGATCCGCCGCTTTGGTTCCGAGCTGGCACCAGACTGCGCGCGCCTTTGCCAAATGGCATCTTTTTACGCGTTGCCTCAACGCTGACACGCTATGGTTTCACTCAACAGCTACAGACGGTGAAATGGGGGGGTGGGCTGGGGGTGGTCGGCTATCCATTCACGGAATAAATCGTGATAACTCTTAACTATGGGGGTGGGGGGTGGGGGGGACCTCTGATCTGTTCTGTTTGAAGCTCAAATATGAGCTGGTTTAAATGGAAAACCCAACATTTAGAGTGACATCAGAGTCAGTGCCACCATGAAGAACCGTGGAGCTTCTGGACAACCACCGAAAAGACCTGCTCAAAGCCCCGCTGTACGGCTAAGACTGTGACATGCCACTGACAATATAATAATACAAAAATGCCATGAAACGACCTGAAACGCTCCGCTCACACAAAGCTACTGTTTTAACCTGTTTGCTACCGGTACTTACAATTTCACCATGTATGCACAGCGAGAAGAGGTAATTCTTTGCCTTGATTACATCCGATGGAACATAAGGCTTTTTTCTCCTCCGACCGGCAGCTTCGACTCAGTGCGCATGCGTCGTTCCCTCAACTCGTAGTAGCTCAGTGATGAGTAAATCCCGGCTGTATGGCGCAGGGCTGAATGAGCACAGGGGAGAGCTGTATCTTATGGTTTCCCCTCACCTTTCTCCTTTATTTACTTATTTATTTATTTATTTATTTATGCGAACTAACTACTTCTGCATAGTGTGTGCTATTTTTAGTCATTCAATTATCTAAACGATCAGTTCAGGTAACTTTTGGGTTTTGTAATACTTTTCAAAGAATTTAATTTAACTTAAAAAAAAAAAAATATATATATATATATATATATATATATATATATATATATATATATACTTTTGTTATAGCATAGTCTTTTGCTACTTTTAGAATTTAGTTACTCTGCTACTATTTAGTTTGCCTTTAGCTTACTTATAGCTTCTAACTTATTTGGCTAGTTTTAGCTTTTTGTTAGGCATTTGCCACATATCCATCCATCTTCTGATGGATAATTTTGCTTCTTTTAGCTAGTATTTTCACACAATTAGCTTTTAGCTAATGTTATTTTTCTTTAATAATTTAGCGTGTTTGGCTAGTTGTAGTTTTTAGCTGGCGTTCTTTTATTTTGGCCTTTAGATTACTTTTTGCTTCTTGTAGCTATTATTTTGATACTTTTAGCTTTTATGTTTTATTACATTGAACTTTTATCTAGCTTTTTATTTCTTTTAGCATTTAGCTAGTGTTCTTTTACTTTTAGCTAGGGTTTTGCTACATTTAGAGTTTACCTATAGCCTTTGTTTCTTTTAGCATTTAGTGTTAGTCTCCTTTTAGCTATAGTGTTCTGCTTTTTATAGCTTTTTAGTGTTGTTTTTTAAAGCTTTAACAACTGTGTTGCAGCTTTTTCAGCAACGTCTTTCAGCATTCATAAACTTTCTCTATTTTTTGTTTATTACTATTATTATTATTATTTATTCCTCATGTTGAGTACCTTGTAAAGTCTTCCTAGTAAATAGTGCTTCAGGCTTTCTGAAGGATTTTCAAAGTTTGTCTCTGTCCCTTTTCACTTATTTTCAGTGCAGTACTTTTCAGAGGAATGTTTATATATACATTATATATATAT